GGGGCCATCTCAGGCCATGTTGAAGTGTGGAACCCCAGCCAGGCTGCAAAGATTGCTGAACAAGTCACGCGAGGATTCCCAGGAGCGCCTTAAAGCATTAAAGAGTACTTCGATGCTCCTGACAGGGAATTTGGGAGGTGCATGAGGACCCTCCACTTCGTGCCTAGCGGCACGGTGGCGGATCTATCGAGTGCCGATTTCGGCAAGCGACGTCTACAGATCAAGGTGAGCGATGAGTACAGCACCGTTCGCCGCTGCCGCCACCAACGACGAGCATCATGCAGAACACCCGCTGGGCTACATTCTGGACCCAGATCACGTGCCCGCTGAGCTCGAACCCTTCCGTGGCAGGCTGAGCAATAATTTTTTTGAGGTGAGGAAGAGGATCATCAGTTTCATCCGCGAGGACATCATACCCGCGCAGGCCACTGCCAGAAGGCAGCGTCTGGAGCTGGTCAGGAAGGTTCAGGAGTCGCGCGCGCCACTGCCGGGCGAGGACCCGGCCTACGCCCGCCACGAGGTTTGGGCGGGGTCCCCGCCGATTGTTGCAGAGCTGCGGGGGAAGGCGAAAGCTCGTGGCTTGCATAACTTCTTCCTGCCCGAGGTGGGCAAGCTCAGCGTGCTGGAGCTCGGCGGCGTGCACAGGGCGGCTGGGAGAGGGGGACGGCCTTCCGAGAAGGCCAGGGGGGGCTTCTGAGAGGCCCTCTCGCTTCCTGCGGGGCCCTCTCCGAAGCCTCGGGCCCCTTCTCAGGAGCCCCCCCGCCTTCTTAGAATGCCGCGCCCCTCGCCCCACCGCCCTGTGCGCGCCGCGAAGGAGTACGCCCCGATCTGCGAGATATTTGGCGCCTTCCCGCTGGCAAACATTGCCATGAACTGTACAGCGCCCGACACCGGCAACATGGAGGTGCTCGAGAAGTACGGCACGCCTGAGCAGAAGAAGCAGTGGCTGGAACCCCTGCTTGAGGGAACGATTCGCAGCGCGTTCGCGATGACAGAGCCTGGCGTTGCCAGCAGCGATGCGACCAACATCAGTGCGACAATTGTGCGGGAAGGGGACGAATATGTCATCAACGGGCACAAGTGGTACATCAGCGGCGCGTGTCGCCCAGAGTGTAAAGTTTTCGTATTCCTTGGGCGCACCACGGGCAGCCATGGCAAGCCGCACATGTCTCATTCCATGATCCTGGTTCCCCGGGATGCTCCAGGTGTTACGATTGTCCGTCCACTTGCGGTGTTTGGGCACATCCACGACCACGCAGAGATCGTGTTCGACAACGTCCGTGTCCCTGTGACCAACATCCTCCTCGGCGAGGGCAGAGGCTTCGAGATCGCGCAGGCATCGTGGCCGTAGCTGGGTGTTGCCGTGTCTCGTGGGCACCTCTCGGGGGGGCCCATCGGGTTCGTTGTGCTCCTGAGCAAAAGAAGAACGACCGACGATGGGCCTCGCTTGGGGACCGCGAGCACGTCTCTCCCCACTGTGTCTGGTCGCGCAGGGGCGCCTGGGTCCAGGCCGGATTCACCACTGCATGCGCACCATAGGAACTGCGGAGCAGGCGCTGGACTCGATCATACACCGCGCCCGGAGTCGCAAAGCCTTCGGGAAGGTTTTGGCGAACCATGACACGGTGAGACAGTTCGTCGCCGAGTCGAGGATCGAGATCACGAAGTCTCGCTTGCTGAACTACCTCGCGGCAGTGCAGGCCGACGACCATGGCTTCAAGGATGCCAAGGCATACATCGCGATGACCAAGATAGATGCGCCGAGGATGTGCTTGAAAATCATCGACGAGGCGATCCAGATCCACGGCGCACATGGCGTGAGTCAGGACTCTCAACTGTCAGACCTGTACACGCACGTACGTCACGTGCGCCTGGCGGACGGGCCAGACATCGTCCACCTTAACACAATTGCAAAGGAGGAGCTCAAGAGAAAGACCTCCGCACTGGGCGAGTGGGCCAGCGGCAGGAACGCCAACATCGAGAAGTACGGCAAGTTCCAGCACGTGGCCCCCGCCGCCGTGGCCAAGCTGTGAGTCACGGCCCAGGCGCCTGGGCACGCCGTTGCGGAGGGGCTCCTCGACGCAGCCACGGCGGCTGCCCCGCGCTCTGGAGCACCGCGCGCTCGCCCGCGGGAGTGGGGGGGCCCTCGTGCAGCCTGGTGACCCGCAGGGGGCGCACAGGCCCAGAGGGCGGGGTGGGGGCCAGCCGAGGAGGCCGCCCGTGCCTCCGCCGGCGCAGGAGCAGCAGTGGGCCTGCCTGGCCCGACCCGAGGCCCCTGAGATCCTGGCGTGGCAGTTTTTTCACCACGGGCTTTTTTGCGGAATTTCCGGCCCCGGGGCCCTCACAGAGCGATCCGGCTCGAGAAACGACGTGGACAAGATGGGGTCCGGGCCCCCGGGCGCGATGTGCTGCGAGGTTGCAATTTTTTGGCAACGTCGGATCTCAGAGTCAGCTCCGAGCTCCGGGCGGTCCGGTGCGGCCCGCGGTGCTCGCCCGGCCCAGCTGTGGATCCCGGCGCAGGCGACGCGATGGATACCGACTCCGTGCCGACGTGACCCGATCCAACGCACGCCGTGCCACATGCGGTTCCCCAGCCCATGTCGGCACATGCCTCACACGTGTCGTGGCCCTACACGGAGTGCCACTGAAGGCGAAATTCACCAGTGCGGCACTCGCAATTGCGCACGGTTGGGTCCGGGCCCTTGCTTCAGGGGCGACGATACTTGAGCAGGCCGAAAGATTTTCCTCTTGAGGCCCACATGAGACATGCGAAGTGTCGTGCCTCCCTCCCCCTCACTCGTCCCCCTCCTCTCCCGCCTCCCTTACACTTCCCTCCTCCCTCTTCCTCCCTCCTCCGCTCTCCTCCTCCACTCCTCCTGACTCTTCGTTTGCCCTCCTCCTCTTTCTCGTCTCTCCTCTTCTTCCTCGTCGTCGTCCTCTCCCTCCTCTCCGTACTTCCTCCCTCATATTCCTCTTCGCCCGCCCCTGGTTTGTGTTTCCCTACTCGCCCCCGTGTGGTGTGTCTCCAGGTAGGGAACCCCCTCCCCGGTAGAATCATAGCTTGGGCTGCAGGTCCAAGGCTCCGTGGATCCATTTCCCTTGGGTCCCTCGTATGAATTATCATTATAAACTTATTCCAGCGAAAGAATTGGATCCACGAAGCTTCCACGCCAAAACATTGAATCCACAAGACACGGAAATTTGATCCACGTGACTCTCGCACACACGTAATTGGATCCAAATGACTCCATGCGTTCCCATGCAAGCGGAAAGAACTTTCGGCCTGGGGATGTAGGGGGCGATAGGCAAAGGCGGGGACGGATCGACCCCCAATCGCCCATTGATTGCCGATAGGGTTCTGACAGCCCCACCCCGCCCACAAACGTGTAGATTTGCTATCGGGGGCCTACCGCCGATGTGTCTGCGATGTATCGGCGATTCAAGGTCGATGTTCCCCTGCCTGTGGCAGTGCAGTCCCCCCTATCGTTGCCCATGAGGGGCGTGCGTCCAGGAGGGGGGTGCACACTTTGTCTTGAACCGTGCCGCGTCGGGGTACCAGTCTTTCTGTGCTCTTTGCCCGGGCGCGGCAATCCATACTGCATCTAACTTCCCGTATTCATGTGTCCCCTCGCTGGGATTCTCACTGAGATGCTCACTTGCACCGTCGCCGCAGTCCTTCCCCGATTCCCTGACTCGTGGGAACAGTGTTGCTGGGAAGCTGGCCCCTGCACAGGGTCGAAGGACATCCGTGAAGCTGGACCGCACATTATTATAGGGGGCCAGATGCGAACCCTACCCCTACCACCCATGATTTGTGAGGGGGAGGGTGGGGTTCACTTCGTTCGTCATGTATTACACATGCAGGGATTTAGTACTAACAGCAACGATGAGTTCATGCGTAAACTTATTCATGCATTAATCATGTATTAAAACTCCTATATGTTTAAACATCCAATGTATCAAAAACTGCCCTGTGCCCTCGTGCTCTTCGTGTCTGGTGAATCCTCCTGCGCATCCTGGGGGAGGGCACCCTCGAGTGTGCTCTTCGGCCTGGGCCGGCGGAGGGTCTCCTGCTCTCGAGTGAGGTTCCTCTGCCCTCCTCCTCCTCCTCTTCCTCCTCCTCCTCCCCCTCCTCCTCCTCTCCTCCTCCTCCCTCCTCCTCCTCCTCCTCCTCCTCCTCCTCCTCCCCTCCTCCTCCTCCTCCTCCTCCTCCTCCTCCTCCTCCTCTTCCTCCTCCTTCTTCTCCTCCTCCTCCTCCTCCTCCTCCTCCTCCTCCTCCTCGTCCTCCTCATCCTCCTCCCACTCCCCCCGCCCCTTTTTCCGCGCCCACCCTCGACTTGCCGGGCCTTCGAGCTTGGAGGTCGAAGGCTCTGCTGGGCTCGGAGATGCTCTTCTCCGGCAGCTGCGCCTCGCCGGCCGCGCCGCTCCTGGGGGGTGCCCGCCCGAGCCGTGGCCCGCCGGCCGTCCAGAGCCTCGACCCCCCCCCCCTAGATCCGTGGGAACACGCACGGCGGAGGGCCTTCGCCAGGTTTCGGTTTCTGGGGGCCCTCGCAATGCCAGGCACGTCGGCCACGCGCAGAAGGGGGTTAGGAGCAAGAGAGGGCTCCTCGGAAGCACCCAGGCTTTTTAGAAGGTGCGGGCCGCCTATGTCGATGCAAGGTCGGCGTCTTCTGAGAGGCAGCCTCCTTCTAAGGAGCCTTCCCCGCTCCCGCTACCCCTTTGCGCGCGAGGGGAACAAACGTGGCGCAAGCATAAACACTCAGAGGTCCGCGCGGATTCCTCGGATCGGCGCTGGAGCCCCTAAGGCGGCGCCTCCGGCGCCGCCCCATGGCTGGCCTGGCCAGGGAGGCTTGCGCGCAGAGCCTGCATGGGCCCAGGAGGGGCCCGCCCAGGGAATCCGTGACTTGGCAGGGCTCGGGCGTGCGCAGGTGTTCTCGGCCTACACGGGCGCGTCCCTCTACAGGAGGAGTATACAAACATAGTTTTGAAAAGAGTGCCAGGGTCATCTTTTGACTAGTTTTGACAATTTCGGAGTATGTCTCGATTATTTTTATTTATCGTTCAAAATCCGCCGGTAGGGGGACATGCCCGACATACCCTTCGTGGGCCCCGGAAATTTCGGAAGAGTGTCCCCTGGAAAGTGAGAACGGTAAACAAAACGGCGACCGTAAACGGCAACGCACATCGGCTCTGGAAAAGAAACGGTGACGGAATTGGCAAACAAACGGCGACGGAACCGGCAACAAAAACGGCAAAACGGAACCGGCACAAAAATGGCCCTGTCGCTTTCAGGGCGCACTAAGCTCCCGGCGAGGAACGTCGAGGAGCATCTTGGATCCTCTCGCGTAAAACAACACACGCGCAGAATCGACATGCACGGGAAATGGACGTCCGAGCGATGGCGAGGTGAGGTGGCCAGCACACTCGGGCGGGTGGCACCGGGGGGGGGGGCGGCCTAAAAATCGGGGGTGAAGAGAAATGGGCCGCACAGGGGGCCCTTGGAGGCCCCTCTTCGGAGCCCGCAGGGGGCCTTAGGTGGCCCCAAAAGGGCCCCTTTGGGGCCTTTCTCTCCGCCCCCCCGCTCAGGCCCCCCCCCCCCGAGTACTGCCCGCCCGATTGGCTTTCCCCGACCTCGCCGCGCGCCGCCAAGCCAAGGAGCTCGCCGCCCTCGGAGGGCGCCGGTCTCGCCGGGCGGCAGACCTGCTCGCTCTGCGCTCGCGCGGCGGCCGTGGCGTGCCGGGTCCGGCCCCCGGCGCCGCAGGCTGCCATCGGAGCTCGGGGAGACCGCTGCGCATTGCCCGCGGTCTTCGTTTCAAGCGTTGAGGGGCCGACTCTCCACCACCGCTACCACAGGTAGGACGGGGGAGGAAGGAGGATGGAGAGGGCCTCCTCCTCCTCCTCCTCCTCCTCCTCCTCCTCCTCCTCCTCCTCCTCCTCCTCCTCCTCCTCCTCCTCCCTCCTCCTCCCCTCCTCCTCCTCCTCCCTCCTCCTCCTCCTCCTCCTCCTCCTCCTCCTCCCTCCTCCTCCTCCTCCTCCTCCTCCTCCTCCTCCTCCTCCTCCTCCTCCTCCTCCTCCTCCTCCTCCTCCTCCTCCTCCTCCTCCTCCTCCTCCTCCTCCTCCCCCTTCCTCTCCTACCTATGGTAGTGGTGGTGGACCATCGGCTCATGAAGTGTTGCCTCGGCGGTGGCCGAGGCGAGTGGCAGCGAGAGGAACCCCCCCGCGCGCGAGGCCGAGGCCCCTTGCCCAGAAAGGGGATCCGTGGCTCTGTCGTCGCCTTCTTCCTGGTTCTGGTTCTGGTTGAGGCGCACCCAAGTTGGGCGCGTTGGTGCCGAAGCCCCGGGCAAAGGGCAGGCATGAGCAGTCCCGAGTAGGGCGCTGGCAGTGGGGCAAGTGCCCGGCGCGCGTGCCCGCTCCCAGGGGGCCGGGTGTCGCTTCATGCGAGACAGTTGTAGGGGCCCCCTGGGAGCCGCGCCTGCCACGCCGCCAAATGGCGGAGCGCCAGTGCGCGAGCGCGAGTGCGCGTGCTGCCAACTGGCGGCAACGAAACTGGGAACCTCGTCGTCCTCCACCACCCCGCCACAGCTCCACCACCACCAGCCAGGCGAGGGAAAAGGGGAGAGGGAGGAGGGCGGCGGGAGGAGACACCCCGGGGGGGGGGCAGCCGGGAGGGCGACAGGACGACGGCGACGACAGGAGACGACGAGGGCGACGCCGACGAGAAGCAACGGCGACGACGACGACGACGGCGAGGGCGACGAAGACGAAGGCGACGGCGACGAAGACGACAACGACGGCGACAGCGGCGGCGAACGCAGCGACGACGACGACAGCCAAAGGACACGCAACGCGCATTTCCAGAAGCGAAAAAAGGAAGCGAGTGCCCGGGGCGCGCGCGGCTAGCCCCGGGGCCGGCGGCCGCGCTCGGCGCTCCGGGAGCGGCAGGAGGGGCTCAGGCGGGGGCGGCGGCGGCGGCGGGAGGCAGCGGCCGGGGGCGCCCCCGCAGCCTCAGGGCGACGACGACGACCACGACGACGACGACGACGACGACAACGACGACGGCGACGACGACGACGACGACGACGACGACGACGACGACGACGACGACGACGACGACGACGACAGCGACGACGACGACGACGACGACGACGACGACGACGACGACGACGACGACGACGACGACAGCAAAGGCGGCGACGGCGGCGGCGGCGGCAGCAGCGGCGGCGGCGGCGACGGCGGCAGCGGCGGCGGAGGCGGCGGAGGCGGCGGCGGCGGCGGCGGCGGGAGGCCCCGGCCGGGGAGGCAGCAGCAGCAGCCGTCGGGGGGGCAGCGGCGGCCAGGCCCGTGGCGGCAGCAGGAGCGTGGAGGGCCAGCGCGGGCGGCGCGCCCAGAGCGCTGGGCGGGGGCGGAGGCGCCGCGGCGGCGTGGGGCCGGGGCTGGTTCCCAACCCAGGGGACGGTCCACGCAAGCACTGCTTCGAGGAGCCGCTCGCGGACCTCCGTGTTGCCGGCGATGGTCAATTTGGCTTGCCGGAGCCAAAAATTGATCACCCCGCCGCCGCCGAGCGGACGGAGCGCCAGGCCGATCCGGGCCCCGTTGGTGCCAAAGAGCCAGAATGCCTGGCGGGAGTCGGTGTAGAGCCCGCAGGCGGCAGCCAACTGAAGGACCTCTTGCTCAGTGAGCGCGCGCCCGTCAGCACGCGCAGGGAGCCCGCGGCGGAAGCGGGCGCTACCGGGGTCAGCGCCGGCGCAGCGCCGCGAGCGCCGCGAAGAGCCGGAAGGCGCGGGAGGCTGCTGGGGCTGGTGCTGCGACGGCGCCGCTGGCAAGGAGACGGACGATGAGGGCGGGCCGCTGGGCCGCCAGGAGCAGGCGGACGAGGGGGACAGCGGAGGCGAAGGCAGCACGGGCGCCGCAGGCGGGGGGCCAGACGACGGGGGCGGGCAGCACGGCCGCCCGGAACTGGCCGGCGCAGGCGGAAGAGGCTGGGGCGCGGGCATCCCCAGCGACGCAGGCGGCGAGCCAGAGGAGGACGCAGCGGGGCCGCCCAGAGGCGGAGGGGCGGCGGGCGGACTGCGCCACGGGGGAGTGGCCTGCGACGCCGGTGCCACGCCCGGGCTGGCCCCCGCAGAACCGCTCGAGCTGCCGCCCGCTGCGCCCGCAGCCCAGCGCAGACTTGCGGCACGGAGGGCAGCAGCGGCGCCCTGTGCAGAGCCCCCGTACACCGCCACCAAGGCCTCGGCGACCAAAGGGTCCAGGTAGTAGGGCGGTGGCCGAGGCGAGTGGCAGCGAGAGGAACCCCCCCGCGCGCGAGGCCGAGGCCCCTTGCCCAGAAAGGGGATCCGTGGCTCTGTCGTCGCCTTCTTCCTCCTCCTCCTCCTTGGGCCAGGGGGAGACTCCCTTCAGATTTTGACAACGCGGGGTGCAGAGTGCATCGTTCGCGCACGCCGATCCTACGCTTGGCAAGGTAAGTGAGCATCTGGATCACATGGCGATTGACCGACCGACCTCCTCCTCCTCCTCCTCCTCCTCGTCCTCCTCCTCCGCTGCCTCGATACTTAGCGAGCCTCGATTCCCCTCGAGCCTCGGTCCCCCTCGATCCCCCTCGAAGCCTCCTAGAGCCTTCTCGAGCCTCGATTCCCCTCGATCCCCACTTCATGGCTCTGTCGTCGCCCTCCTCCTCCTCCTCCTCCTCCTCCTCGTCCTTCTCCTCCTCCTCCTCCTTCTTCTCCTTTTCCACCTCCTCCTCCTCTCGGAAGGGCCGAAGCTTGAGCAGGTATCGGCTCGGTATTCAGAGGAGGGACAGATACCCTATACTGCTACCCGTCGCCCGTTTTCCCCTTTTTCGGCCTCCTGGGAGGCACTCGTCGCCACTCGCCTCGAGCTGTTCGTCAGGACGCACCCCAGGAGAGGTCCGCGGAGCAGCGGTGTCGGTACCTCTTGGTCTCCCCAGGTACGATCGACATGGGTACGCAAAGAACGGGTAGACCGACAACTGTTCTTACTTCTTTTGAGCAGGGTTCGCTGTCGGTGCCGCCGCGCGCCTCGTCCATTTGAGACAGAGAAGGCCACCTGCCCAACAGCGGCCACTGTCGGTGTGGGGCAACACTTTCGGCGGGATGAGAAGCTGGTTCGGGGGACAAGGTTTTAGACTTAATCAATGCATCGGGTTTCTGAGAGCTCCCCAGTGCAGCGTTGCACCTGAGTGCGATGTGGCGGCGTCGTGGCGGAGAGCATGCGCGAAAGAGCGACTGTGCGCAGAATTATCTCGGCCACCGTCCTGCACAACAGTGTTCCTTGTCGGAGCACGTTGCCCTCCGAGGGCACTATTCAATATTCTATGTGAGCCTCGGGGTGAGAGCAAGGGCGCGCTCACCCCACCTCTTCGCCCTTCCCCTTGCCAAGAAGGTGGGAACCAGGGCGTGCGAAAGTGGGCGCGAGAGAGTGGGCGGAACTGGTACGGAATCAGCGCAGGTGCAAGGTGCGGGAGGGCATGGGCAGCGCGTGCGTGGCTACGAACCCATCTGCGCCCCCGGCGCGAAGCCCACACGAGCCTTGCGGGCGACAGCCTCCGCGCGGCCGCACGTGGTGAGTGAACCAGGACGTCGAAGCTCTGGGCAGCCCCGTTTTCGGCCTCCGGGGGCTGCGAGTGGGCCCCTGGAAGCCGTCGGCAGAGTGTGCTCGGGGTCCCGAGGCCGCGAGGGCCAGCCCACGGGGGAAGGGTCGGGACTGATCGGTGGCCCTGCATTGACTGAGGCAGCCACGGCGCGTCCCCGCCACCGCCGGTCGGGCAGCCGCGCGCGCGCGAGCCCGCGAGCCCGCGCCCGCGCGAGGACGCGGTGGCGGTCCAGGAGTCCGATCCGCTGACGCCGAGGCCGCGCGGGGAGGCGGAAGTGCACGGACGGGAGGGCGATCCCCCAGACATGCTCGCGTCGCAGTAAAAATCATAACGGGAGGTTCTTTCGCTATTTTCGTCCCGGGGGGGCCCTCGCCGGCCCCCCGGGGCGGTCAAAAAACGACTCGGGACGAAAAGCCGGTCCTGGGGAAAGGGTCGGGACTTCCGGGGGCGCCGTCTTGAACAAATCTGGACGTCGCATGTCAGGGTCTCGAGGATCGCGGTTTGAGGCGGGGGGGGGGGGCATGAGGACGGGCGCGGCTCGCTGGTGTCGCCCGTGGGCTTCATGCCCCCGCCCAGGCCGCCCGCGGAAGTCGGTCCGAGCTGCGGGCATTTCCGATCTGCGACAGCAGGCTTTTCGAACTCGATTTCCTTTGTCGCTCATCCTCGGCGGCGAGTCCCGTGGGGAGGGCAACGAGAGGGGCAGGCCTTCTCGGAAGGCGGCGGGGTTCCTCAAGCGCCCTCGCGCCTTCCGAGAAGCCTTGCAAGCCTGCTGCGAAGCCACAGACAGCCGCTCAGAAGGAGCGAGGGCTTCTGAGAAGCCCCCCCTCGCCTTCTGAGAAGGCCTGGCCCACTCGCACTTCTACCCCGAGGAGGAGGAGGAGGAGGAGGAGGAGGAGGAGGAGGAGGAGGAGGAGGAGGAGGAGGAGGAGGAGGAGGAGGAGGAGGAGGAGGAGGAGGAGGAGGACAATGGGATGTCGGCGGCGCGCCTGGCGCGGCAGCCGACCGCTCTGGCGGTCCTCTCTCCCCCCTCTGGGCCGGCCGTCGCGAGCGCGCGCGCGCGCGCGAGGTTCCCGGACAGCAGGTCCGCCAGCGGGGACTTCGAAGGCAAGGCGCTGCCTGGCATGATGGCGCGGCGCAGGCCCGGGGAGGGGCCTGGAATTTGCGCGGTCGTGAGTTGCTCGCCACCCCAGACATCCCTCCTCCCGGGAGCCACCATCCAGCCACCAACAAATCATTGACCCGGGGCGCACAGCTGGGCCCAGCTGGAAGGGGTCGATACCGCCAGGGCCCGCGGGTTGCCACAGATCACGCCTTCGGATGCGAGGGCAGCGCGAGCCCCTCGAGGCTTCGACCGTTCCCTGGACCCGCTGTCGACTCAGGATGAAAAGCCGATCTTCTTTCGACGGCCCCAGGGTCATTCTCCTCCTCCTCCTCCTCCTCCTCCTCCTCCTCCTCCTCCATCCCCTCCTCCTCCAGGCCCCAAGTCACAGGACTTATGATACCAAAGGAAGGGGCCCCAAAAGACACCCTCACCACCACTAGCACGCCAGAAGGGATTCTCGGAGACCTCCAGAAGTTTTGTCAGCACATCTTCTCGAGCACGATCGTGAACCCCATGGCGGTCCACACCTACTTGGATCAGCATCTCCTCAAGTTCGACTGCGCGGACCTCAGGGTTCCTGCTCTTCAGGGCTTCCACTAAGCTCTCCGCCAGGTAAGACATACAGTCCCTGGACCAGATCAAATTCCCTACGCGGCATGGGCAACACACCCAGGATCCTCTCAGATTCGGTACGACCTGATGATGCAGATGTTCGAAACAGCACTTGCCCCTCATCTATTCAATGATTCGGTCTTCGCGTTCTTACCGGAAGGAGACGAGCCACAGGACCTCTTCGCAGTCTTCTGTGCCCCAGGAGCCACGCGTCCCCCCCCTCTCTCTCTTTCTCTCTCTCTCTCTCTCTATCTCTCTCTCTCTCTCTGTTAAGAACTGCGACGCCAAACTGATCGCGCATGTCGTGCATGTAGGCCTGGTGGACATGGTTCGGGATCACACCATAGACACGCAGCAGGGGTTCGTCAAGGGCCGCAGCTTTTCGCAGCATGTTCTGACACTTGATTCTGAGGCCCGTAGAGCTGGTCACTCCCCAGATGCCCTAGATGCCCTCCCGGTTGTAATCAGCTTGGATATAAAAAGCTGTTTTCCCTTCGTTGGGATGGCAGGTTTTGTGCGGCACTTGTAGCGCACGGTGTCCCCCAAGGATATCTTAGTACGACTCACGCGTTACATTACTCCCCTGGCGCCTGGGCCCGCGTAGGTGGCCGCCTCCAATTCATGTATGAAATCGGTTCAGGGGTCCTCCAGGGCTGTCCCCTCTCGGGATCGATCTGGGCCCTGGCTTTCGACGCTCCAATCCGTCACCTTGTTCAGAGTTTAAGCGCTCTTCCTGGATCCAATAAGCTCGGAGCCTGTGCTGACGATTTGGGACTGGTCCTTGCTCGCTTGGGGGCCCTCCCCTACCTCCCCCCCTTTCGGGCCATTGCTTTCCTAGCAGGACTCGGGCTTCAGATCCAGAAGACCGTCATTGTGCCCCTGTGGGCAGCTTTCTCTCCAGCAGTGCAATCTCTCACACAGCGTCATTTAGCTTTTTCGCACCGCTGAGTGGAACAACGTACAGATCGCTGAGTCTGCCCGCTATCTTGGCGTGCACAGTGGCAGTGGAGTAACGATAGACACTTTCGATAAGTATTGGCTCCGCGTGGTGCAACTCGCAGCGGGTGCCCCAGGACAAGCGGTAGCCATCACATTGTATAAACACATGTGTGATCCCAGAACTTCCTTACTTCACGCAGTACTTCCCTTTTCCAGACACGTTTCCCCGCCACGAGCGAGGCACGCTCCACAAGGTATTACGAGCTCCCCCCAACGCCTGGCGCCTCGTCGACCTCCTCGGCACTCGCTCGTGGTCGCAATCTTCCTCCCCCCACAGCATTCATCACGTTGTCGCTGGCTTCGGCGTGGCGCTCGGCCACCGCCACGCTACCGAACCGGCAGCCACTTTATACTGTGCGCTGGTCACTGCCCAAGATCAGCTCAATCTGGAACTTTCCCTGGTGGCGCTAGGCCAGGCCCGCATCAGGGCCACGGTCCCCCGTGTGTTTTGGAAGAGCTACGGTCTCGTTGAGTATTGGCGCGCACTTGCAGGCGGCCCACCGCCTTGCAGAGTCCCTCGCGCTGTGTGGCTCAGTGCTGAGCGAGCTGCCGAGGACGAACAGAAACCTCGGCAGCTCGCGAACCACGGCGTGCCAGGGTCCAGCGCTCCCTCTCCTCGGCCCTGCATGCCTCCCTCTCCTCGGCCCTGCGTGCAAGTTCGCCGAAACCCTAGCACGCCGCCTCCACGGTGCGATCCCGGAACTCGATCTGCCCCCGGATCTGTCCGACTGATGGCGCGATCTCGCCAGCCACCTGTCCCGCAAGGCACCAGCAATCCGATGGGCGTTATTTGAGACTCTGGCGGGAGCGTGGTGGACAAGCCACCGCTTTCCCTTCGGGCCACGCAAGACGTGCTTGCTCGGATGTGATGCATGCCCAGATCGCCTTGACCATTACCTCACCTGTCGCCGTCTCCTGCACTTCCTCGCGTTACCTCGTTCCTTCCTCTCCCCCGGCCCCCTTGTCCGCATAGGCCTTGGTTCAACTGAGCAGCGTGCCAATCCAGAGCCCACCATTTCAAAAGGTGTTCGCAGGACAGCGTTGTCATTTCATTTCTACAACACATTGCGTGTCAGTGCGCACGCCGCGCCCAGCGCCGCGTTTCTGTACACTGGAGTGTCTGGCTACTGCATTGCGTGCGATGAGGCCATAAACGCCTGCTGGACTGAGGGAAGGCACGGTCAGGGAGGGGACCACGTCAGGAGGGGACAGGCTCAGAGGGGGGACGCATCGACCCCCAACCGCTTATTGACAGGGGCCCCGATAGCCCGCCCCGGCCAGGTCCGTGCAGTTTCACGATCGAGGCCTGCACCGGCGATATATCGCCGATTCCAGCTTGATGTTCCACTTCCTGTCGGTCAAGTCAAGTGAAGGCAAGTCCGGTCGATGAGCCTGTGAAGGGCCCCTCGTTCCGCACTGCCGATGCATCGGCGATGCGGCTCGGTCTGAAGCCCGTTCTCCTCCATCCCGCCGCAGCCGATGCATCGGCGATGCGGCTCCGTCCTCCGACCCCGTCTGCTCCAGCCAGCGTCGTGGTTTTCTCGCGGCGTGGACCCCCAAAGGTCTGGACCCCTTCCCAAGGACCAACTTTCCATCCTCAGAGCCGTTTTGTTGATCGCCCTGGGGCCTGATACGGCCCGTTGGACGTACCAACAAAATCGGAAACACCGTATGCGTTTCTCACAGAGTTCGCGGGTCGGCGGCGGCGGCGAGGAGGAACTGAGAGCGGGCAGGCCTTCTCAGAAAGCGGCGGGGCTTCTCAGAAACCGCCCCTGTCTTCGGAGAAGGCTTAGATAGCTTTCCGAAGGTCGGAGGCCTGAGAAGCCCCGCCGCCTCTGCCTTCACCCCTCAGGCCCTCGGGATCCATATCGATCCGATCTGTCCGGTTGGACATCCATTATGGCCGGTCCGATCCGTTTCGCTTCCGGTAGTATTCCGACGATCCGATTCGACCTGGTGCTTGCCTGGCTTTGTTATGTATACGGGCGCCGCCGATCCGATTCGATTTCGGCTCCGTGCCGATATGCAGCCCGATCCGACGCACATCCCGCATTGGTCCGATGGTCCGAGCCGGTGCTGGCTGCTTCCTGCCCCTGGGCTCGCCGCGAACTGGATCGGCGGCGAGCGAGGGGGGGGAAGTGAGAAAGAGAGGGCCCTCCCAGGAGGCGGCGGGGCTTCCCATAAGCTCTCGTGCCCTCTGAGAAGTTTCCTGTGTCTTCGGGGAAGGCTTAGACAACTTCTCAGAGGGCCGCGGGACTTCCGAGCCCTCTGAGAAGGCCTTCGCCCCAGAGACCCCGTGCCGTGATTTTTGCTTACGGGGTCCCCTGAAGTCCCGACCCCTTCCCCAGGACTGGCTTCTCATCCCGAGTCGTCCTTTGACGGCCCCAGGACCAGGCGAAGGTCTCCAGAAGCCGAAAACGCAACAAAACCTTCTGACTTTCTCCAGCGCGCTGGACCTCTGGGTCCTTTCCTGACCTTCCAGTGTGCTAACCATGGCACTCCAGACCTGCAGACCCATCTGGAGTGCCTGGAACCTCGACTGGCCTCTGGGTGTCGAGGTCCTGGCGCGATCTTTTTTGTTCTGCCCTCCTGGAAGGTCAGGGTTCCCACCTCCACCCCGCGCTCGACCCTCGAGCGGGTACCGACCGTCCCGGCATCCCTACCGGCCTGCCACGAGAGGTCCTTAGAACCCAGACCTGCTCCAGTAGCAAAAACGGTGCTCTCAGAGCATGAGCCCGGTGCCGGTCCCGGCCAGAGAACTGCTCCAAGAACATCTCGTGGCATAAGCGCAGAAAGCTCTTCTAGAGCATGCTCCGGTCGGAGGCCTGCCTCCTCCTCCTCCTCCTCGTCCTCCTCCTCTTACTCCTCCTCCTCCTTCTCCTCCTCCTCCTCCTCCTCCTCCTCCTCCTCCTCCTCGTCCTCCTTAAGTGGTGTAGGCCCACAGAGGCACGCCCGGACGCCTCGCCGCCGCTTGACGCCCCCGGCGCAGGGCCTTCGACCTGAGCCTGGCCCTCGGCGCCGCGGCCGCCGACGCCGCCCCCGGCCGGGCGGGCGCCCCGCCCGGCCGGGGGGCGGCGGGCCTCCGCCTGGCGTCGGGCGCCTGCAGCGTGCCGCACCCCGGCAAGGCCCGCGGGCGGGCCGGAGCCTCGCCAGGGGGCGCAGCGGAGGTGGACGGACCTCCTCTACCCTGACGCCTCGATTAATTCAGCGACCTGGCCGTGTTCGGTTCGCGAGAGGGCGCCGCGCCGGTCACTTTTGCGGGCCCAGGTCCGTCGGTTTCGGTCCTGGGCTGCTTTCACTGACAGGAGGTTTGCTAAAGGGAGGTGTGTCCACCGCCGAGTGAATCGGCACGGGTACCCCGAGATCCTGGCGAGTCAGGTTTTTCGAGCGGGGCGTTCTCTCGTCTTTTTGCGGTGCCTGGGGTCCTCCGGGATCGATCGGGCTCGAACAATTACACAGAAAGATCGGGTCTGGGGCTCTGGGCGCGATTCTTACGAGGTTGCATTTTTTCCGCTACGTCGGATCGCAGGGTAATCCCACAGCGCTAACCATTGCCTCGCTATCCCGTTTTGGGGCCTCCTGGGGGGCCCTCGCCCCTCCCCCTGCCCCTTTGTGCGCGCCGCCAGCGGGTCCCGAGGTTTCTCGCCGTTCTCGGGCTCTATAAGGAGGCCCTCTACGGGGCCCAGGAGTGTCAGAAGACGGCTCGGGACGGGCGTTCTCGCCAGGCGTTCTCGCCTTTCCCCGGGGCCCGGGACCCTCAGAGATCGGTCGGGCTTGAACAACTGTACAGAAAGATGGGGTCTAGGGCTCCGGGCGCGATTTTTACGATATGTTGCATTTTTCTCGCTGCCTCGGATCTCCGGGTTTCCCCCATGCCAAGGTTGTTCCAGACGCTTCGCGTTCACCGCCCCCCCTTTCCCAGCTCGCTGGGTGTGTCGAAGATGGCCGGGCGCCGTCTTCAGGCGGCTCTATAGGTGCCCCGGGCGCGGCCCCCTTATCCCTCCGCGGCGCGGAGACCCGCCCCGCCACCGTGCCAGCCCAGCTTGCTGGGTGTCGGCTGTTCGAGCAGGCACGGGGAGCCGTCACGTGTGGCACTTCGTGGCTCCACGCTGGGGAGAGCCATGATGAGGACGATGAGGAGCACGAGGATGATGGGGGTGGTGATGGTGATGGTGATACTGATGCCGGTGATGATGATGCTGTTGCTGATGATGATGATGGTGGTGGAGATGATGATGCAGATTATGGCATTGATGATGAAGGATGTAACGATGATGATGATTATGATGCTGATGATGACGATGATGATGCTGATGATGCTGATGATGCTGATGATGATGAGGAGGATGCTTGGAATGACGCTGATGAGGATGCTGGTGATGATGATGATGATGATGATGATGATGATGATGATGATGATGATGATGATGATGATGATGATGATGATGATGATTATGCTGCTGAACATTATGATGATAATGGTGCTGATGATGAACATGATGATACTGATGAAGCGGATCATGAGGATGCTGAGAGCGATTACCATGATGATGACGATGATGATGATGACGATAATGATAATGACGACAATGACGACCATGCTGCTGATGATGATACGGATTATGATGTTGATGCTGATGATGGTAATGATGATGATGATAGTGCTGATGATGCTGATGATGATGACAATGACGATGAAGATCTTGTTGTTGATGATGATGGTGGCGACGATGATGATGAGGATAATGCTGATGGTGGTGATGATGGTGGTGGTAGTTGTGACGATGATGATGCTGACGACGATGATGATGATGGTAATGGTGATGGCGATGGCGATGACGATGACGACGATGATGGTGGTGGTGATGATGAGGATGAGGATGCGGACGAGGATGCGGATGAGGACGAGGATGTGGATAAGGATTAGAGAGAGAGGGCCATGATTATGACGATGGTGTGGAGGAAGAAGCTGATGATGCTGATGATGATGGTGATGATGATGATTATGATGATGATGTCGCGGATGCTGGTGGTGGTGGTGATGGTGGTGATGATGATGATTCTGATCATGATGAGGATGATGGTGATGATATTGATGGTGTTGGTTATGTTTATGCTACGTATGATGATGATGATGACGATGATTAAGAACAGCATGATTGTGTTGATGATGTGTGTGTTGTTATTTATGCTGGCGATGATGCTGCTGCTGCTGTTGATGCTGATGGTGGTGTTGTTATTCATGGTGATGGTGATGATGCTGATGCTGATAATGCTGCTGACAATGATGCTGATGGTGATGATGATGATGATGATGATGATGATGATTATGATGATGATGATGATGATGATGATGATGATGATGATGATGATGATGATGATGATGATGATGATGATGATGATGATGCTGATGCTGATGCTGATGCTGATTATGATGATGATGATGATGATGATGATGATGATGATGATGATGATGATGATGGTGGTGGTGGTGGTGGTGGTGGTGGTGGTGGTGGTTGTGGTGGTGGTTGTGGTGGTGGTAGTGCTGATTATTACGCTCGTCTGGGCCGTCTTGGGGCTGTCTTGGCCTCCTGTGAGCCAGTCTTGCGGGTCCCTTGGGGCCTCTTGGGCCATCTTGGGGCCCTCTTTCGCCGGCTTGTGGCTCTCTTGGGCTGCCGTGAGACCCTCTTGGCCGTGTGGTTGGCACCTGGGGGCCGTCTTGGCGCTGTCTTGGGCAGTCAAAGGCCCTTCTAAGGCCGTCTTGGGTCCCACGGATAGCCCTCTTGGGCCGCCTTGGGGCCGTCTTGGATGCATTTTGGGCTATCGTGGAGTCCTCTTGGGCCGTCTTGAGCTGAGGGCAGCTCGAAAGGGCGAGAATGCTACCATCTTTGGAAAATAATCGGGCAAGTAATGATGTTGGCTTCTTCGGACCCTGCTGCAGGTCCTCTTTTGGCCATTTTGGGCCCTGTTGGAGGCATCCTGGGTCGTCTTGAATCAATATTCGGTCGCCTTGGGGCCATCTTGGGTCGTCTTCGATGCATCCTGGGTTATCTTGGTGTCCTTGGTTACCTGCAAGGCCCGTCTTTGAAGCTCGGGACGCAGACCCATCGTTTTTCTCAAGGGACCGTGGCTTTGGAAGCCCTGGAGCGCTTGGGGGCAGCGCCTGGGAATGCGGGAAGTGCACGATCCTCGAGCGGGCGCGCGTGGGATGAGTGTTCTAGAAGTTAGCTGCCCTGCGTGAAGTGAACAGTCCTCGAGCGGGTGCGTGTGGGATGAGGGGTCATGCATTAGCTGCCACGTGGGAAGTGAGCAATCCTCGAGCGGGCACGCGTGGACCGTTTGGGAAGTGCCGAATCTTCGAGCGGGCACGCGTGGAATGGGGGGTTACACATTAGCTGCCATGCTGGAAGTACACCATCCTCGAGCGGGCACGAGGGAAGTGGCCTCGGACATGAGGGGGATGCACGCAAGAGTATGATAGTAGAGGGAGTGGCGGCCCCGTACTAGAATTCAAAAAACCCTGCCAGACTGACCTTCGCATTCTTCCACGCCTCAACGTGCAATGGGGGCACGGTGACGGATTCGGACGGCTCTAGATTCCCTGGATAGAGAGCGTTAGCCGCCCTGAGGAGAGGGTTGCGACTTCTGGGAAGCGCGCGTGGAACAGATCGAGACATCGCACCTCTGGGTATCCGTATCCACGGCCTGTCGGTCCAGACTCTCCGGCCGCGGCCCCTTGGATGTGGGGTGGCCTTGGGCGGATGCCCCGGACACGGGTCGCGGAAGACTCGAGTGCGCAGGAATTTTGGTCTGCCGATGTTTTTGGATGGGCGCGTTCTGGATTTTGACGGTCCAGTTCCCGTGGGATGTTTGCAGCGGGAGTTCGCGTCAAATTTCACATTGGGTCTTGCCATTTCCTTTACGGTCTCGCAAGGCCAACCTGAGTTTCCCGAGCCCTTTTTTTTACGTCTTTCCGACTGGATTTATGATGTGTCCGCCGCGCGCGCAGAGGCCAGCCAGGGGGCCGACAGCTATTTCGTCGCGCCCTCCGGGACAGGCGTGGGCGTGGCGGACGGCGTGGGCGAGTGGGAGTTCGGCAACAACGAAATGGGTACGGAAAGAATGGGTACGATGCCCAGCAGCAGTTCTTGTCCATTTTCAACGGGACTCGCTGTCCTCGCCGCCGCGGACGCTGTCCATTTGAGACACAAGGCCGGCTGCCCAGCAGCGGCCGCTGTCGGTTTCGGACAACATGTGCTGTTGTAGGGGGCCGCATGCGAACCCTACCCCTACCCCCCACGATTTCTGAGTGGGAGGGTGGGGGTCGCTTCGTTCGGGAGCTCCCGATCGAAGTGAACCCCACCCTCCCCCTCAGAAATCGGGGGGGGTAGGGGTAGGGTTCGCATGTGGCCCCCTATGTTGGGCAGCGTACCCATGTGTCCCGCACCCACTTCGGGGGGCGTCCCAAGGAGTGGCGCTTCGGCTGCGACCCGCGGGCCTTTGCGGACGAGCTCATGGCGGGCTGCCTCGCCGCCGTCGAGCTGCGCCCGCCTGAGGGCCATCGCCGCGGGGGAACGGGTTCCCGCGGGAGCCGCCTCTCATGAGGCCTCTCGCCGCTCTTTCGGGCTCCCGTGGGGCCCCGCACGGGCCCCAGGCCCGTCAGAGAACGACTCAGGATATAAGCAGTGCCCGTCCTGGCCGAAGGCCCCCGGGGCCCGGGACCCGCCTCCCTCGGGAGTTGTGACCCCCATGCCAAGGCGAGGCCGGGCGCGACCCAGGCTTCAGCGCATACCTGGCGATGCGGAGCGGATTCGGCCAGGCCAGATCTTTCGGCTCCTCCACGGCGCTCGTCGCAGCCCTGCACAGCGACGTTGGGGTCCTCGGGGTGGCCAGCCTGGGGGACTCCACGCTCATGCAGCTCCGGCGAGGTGGCGATGGCCTCGACACCAGGTTCCGTGTCGTGGCCCGCACGCTGGAGCAGCAGCACTCTTTCAATTGCCCCTTCCAGCTGTGTCGCATGCCCAGGGAGGATCGGGTCGGACGAATAGGGGGGGGCTGAGAAGCAGGCGGGGTTACGGCGTCCACTGCGTGCAGCCGGTTTCAGCCTTAAGTCGGGCCTGTCCCCCCACAGGGGGATTTTCGACGAAAAATAAAAAATACCCCAAAATAGGAAAAAATAGTCCAAACATAGTCTGGGGATTTTTTTTTGGGTATTTTGTTGACCTTCTTGGGGTATTTTTTGAGTATCTGGTATTTTTCGTCAAACAAATCTCCTGCAGGGGGACAGGCCCAACTTAATTTCAGCCCCGCTGGCCAGCGCCTTCCTGGATACGTGGGCGCCGCCAGCGCGGGGAGGCGCCGGGAGGACCAGCTGCGTGAGCCGATTCGCGGACCGCTCGCCCCTCTGTGCTGTTCGGGCGGGTGGTGCTGGGGGGTAACCTCCTCCTCCTCCCTCCTCCTCCTCCCTCCTCCTCCTCCTCCTCCTCCTCCTCCTCCTCCTCCTCCTCCTCCTCCTCCTCCTCCTCCTCCTCCTCCGCCTCCTCCTTGAAAAAGGCGTAGAGAAAAGGGCCCCAAAGGGGCCCTGTTGGAGTCCAACTGGCTCCAAAAGGAGCTCTACAGGGCACCAGTAGCGCCCTTTTCTTTGCCCCAATTTGTGGTCATCCCCCATTTCCACCCGCCCGAGCTGTCCTCTCCGAGAGGAGGATATCCCTCGGCTGCTGGCGGAGGGCAAGCAGAAGCTCGCCCGGGCCGTAATGCGCCGCCCGCAGGTCAAGGATCGGCACGATCGAAATACGTAGCGAAACAATGGGCACGAAGACAGACATCAGCTCCTGTCCATGTGAGAAGACCGACAGCAGCGACGAAAACAGACGAAGACCTCAAGTCGAGACAGACGGCCTCGATTTTGGACAACAGTTGTCTCTTGTTGGGCATCGTACCCATTTTTTCCGTACCGATTTCGGGGGTGTCCAAGAAGGAGGACCTCCCGGAGGACGCCCGGCGCTACAGCCTGCCCGTGGAGGAGGGCGACCTCCTGGTGGTGGGCACGGACGGCGTCTTCGACAACCTGCACGACCACGAGATCTGCGACCTCCTCGCCAGCCTGTGCCCCGAGGCGGGGCGCGCCTCGCCAGAGAGGCTCCCGAGGACGGGCAGCAACTGCCCTCGGCCGGGATCTTTTACATGGCGCGCCCTGCCGCCCGCCGCACCCTGGCGCGCAGGTTTCGACTAGACGTAAGGGTGACCCTTCGCAGGAGTGACCTTTGGTGCGCGCTCACTGGGGTCCCCCGATCGCCGCGCTCGTTGCGATGTTAGCGTCCTGCGCGCTTGTGTTTGGCCTCCTCGCGCCCCCGAAAAATGCCGCGCACCAAAGGTCACTCTTACCCAGGGTCACTCTTACGTGCAGCCGAAGGTTCGCCTCGCCGCTCCCAGCCTGCTGCCCGCGTCACCCCTGTGCCCTGGCACGCGCGTGCAAGGCCTCCACGGTCCGGGGGGGCGTGCTCCGCCGCCCGCGGCCTCCTCCCCTCTCCACGTCTTGTCTTTTTGTTCTGTTCTCTTGTGCCCGAGTGTGGGCTCCGAGGTGCGCCTCGGCCGTCCCGATCGCGCCTCGGACCCGAGCCGCCGCTGACAAAACAGGCGCGCCGCCGGTGCTGGCCCACCGCGCTCCGGCGCGACACGCGATCCGCTTCCCCGTGCCCAGGTGTCGACGCCTCGAGTGCTTCCCGCCCGCCCGGCCCGCGGAGCGGCGCGGCACACAATCCGCTCGCATGGCACAGCGTGTCGCCGGGGCCGCCGCCGCGACACGCTGCGCAAAAGCTCCCGGCCGTAAGCATACAGATTCGGAGCTGCGAGCGGATCTCTTGGATCGGCGCCAGACTCCCCTCCCTGGCGCGCGGAGCGCCCCAGGGGCGGCGTCGGAGGCACCGCGGGTGGGGGGGGCGGGGCCCGGCGCCGATCCAAGAAATCCGCGCGGAGCTCCGACCCGACGGTTTATGTTTGTGCAGTTCTGTCTTCCCCTAGGCTCGCGGAGGCAATCGTGAGCGCCGCCTGCGAGAGGTCGAGGAGGCGGGATGGGAGCTCCCCTTTCAGCGTCCACGCGAGGAATTCGGGCTATGCGCACGCCGGCGGAAAAATGGATGACGTCACGTGCGTCTGCGCATGGCTGGTGCACTGAGTTTGCTTGCCTGTATTCGGAAGGTGGTGTCTTAAGACACGCATCTTCGCGCCAGTTTTGAGGGGCCAGAAAGCGCGCCCAGTCCAGACCCTGCGTTCTGCCTTCCTCCTCCCCTCACCCTCCACTCCCTCCCCGCTGTCAAAGTCTCTGGCATACAGTCCAGAGACCAGAGCGTCGGTTTTAGACCAACGCAGCTAATGTCAATCAGCGCACATTTAATTACCTGAAGCGAGGCCTGTGCCCTCTGCCGCCTGCCCTCCGTGTGGTTGTCTGCGCAGCTGGGCCGATTGGACTGACGCTGGCAGCTCGGCTGGCAGGCTGGCTGCCTGACTGGACGGTTGGCAGGTTCGCCAGGTGGTTGGCTGGCGGGCTGGTTCGCAGGCCGCAGGCTTGCTGGCTAGCTGGAAGGCTGGCGGGGTAGCTAGCGAGCTCGGAACAGATCCACCGTCTTCTGCAGAGGTTCGCTGCCTCGGCCTCGTGAGCGTGGCCTGGGAGCGCGTACCAACTGTTTTCGTAAAACGATTGTGTCGTTGGGTGCGTGGGCCCACAGGGGTTCGTGGCCTCAAGAGTGCGTGCCTATTGTTTTCTACAAAGGACCGTGGCCTCAAAGAAGCCGGTCAATTATATGTTCAGGTGTCCCAGGGCATCCTGACGTTCTGAGGATGTGATTTGGGCGTAGGAGACGCCGAGTTCGGGCCGGGAGAGGGGTGTCTGGGCAGTTCTAAGAAACATCGAAAGTCTAGTAAGAAGCTCTGCAGTTCTGTGTTCCGAGAGCTGGTGATTGGCAAATCGCAGTTGCCAAACTGCCGGGGCCCTGAGGATGTTGCAACGCTGCGAGCTGCCTTGCTGCGCTACCGAGAACGGAGTTGCTCGGCTGCCGAAGCCTTCGGGTGACGAGCTCTAGACGTGTCCACCACCCCTGGCCAGGGCCGTCCGCTGGGCCCAGGAGCGGTGCATCTGCACATGGACTTCGTCGCCCCTAGAAGCCTGTGCTCCGCAGCCTCCTGGCCCCCGCGGGCGGGGGCGGCGGACGCCGGGCAGCACAGCCCGTTTGGAGAACCGGCGGCCCCGGTTCTGCAGAGTGGAGTGGACATTTCGAGAGCAAGGCTGGGCCTTCCAGCAACGGAGGCCGGAGGGCAGTCCCTGCACCGCTCGGCGGCACAGGGGCCCCCCCCACCAGCGTGTCAGAAGAAGCGACCCACAGAGAGCAACCGCGATGACTCCCATTCCCACTCCAAGCCAGTCTTCGCCAGCCCCAGTGCCTGTCAGCCCGGCTCGTGCGCACCGCGAGACGGGAGGAGCCCCGCTCTCGAGGGCCCCTCGTCCGCGATGCCCCGGCTTCCTCACCCTCGCTCTCGCCTCCCTCTCGCCTCCTCGCTCCCTCGCTCTCCCTCGCCCTCCCTCTCCTGTCTCGATGCTCTCGCCCTCCCGCTCGTCCCTCGCCCGTCCCTCCTCTCGCCCCTCTCCTCTCCTTAGACGCCCGTCGTCGGAACTACGTACGTATGTCTGGACTCCCAGGTCCCTTCCTACTTCAAGAGGCGATCTGCTCTTGCTGATATTTGCTATTCTGTGGGCGGGCCCGGGCCCAGTCTGCTTTAGCCGCCTTCCTGCTTCATGTTTCCACTTGTTTTTTCCGACTGGCGGGTCAGTAGTTGTTCCATCGCGATGCTCTCGCCCTGGCGGGGCAGGGGGCAGTAATTCTCCCGGAAGAGCGCCGGGTGGTCGGCCACAGGCCCCGTTCTCGAGGGAACCCCCAGTGCAGCCCAGTTGTTCGAGGAGCAGCGGCACAAACGGAACTTTCGGAGGCCCGCGCAGATGTCTTGGGTGGTTGGCGCCGGAGACCCCCTTGATGGGCGAATTTCCCACCACCGCTATCATAGATAGGACGGGGGAGAAGGGAGGATGGGGAGGTCCTCTTCTTCCTCCTCCTCTTCCTCCTCCTCCCCCTCCTCCTCCCTCTCCTTCCTATGGTAGTGGTGGTGGAAAATCGGCCCATCACTCCTGGCGGCGCCTCCAGCCAGCGCCACCCTGGCGCACCCCGCGCGCCAAGAAAGGAATGGTGAACAACTTGGGTTCCGGCCCTGCTCGGGGACGTCGTCGCTGTCATTGAGATTGCTCGTGTTCTCTCTGGGAAGTCTTTCCCCGCGGCAGACAGCCACTTGTTCGATCGTTCCCCTTGCGTTTGTGTCTGCGCTGCCACCCAGCAACCCCTCATCCCGTCTCAAGGACCCTCCAGCACGGAGAAGGGGGAGTTGGACGACGACGAACGGGTGGATGGAGGACGAGGAGGAGGAGGAAGAGGAGGAGGAGGAGGAGGAGGAGGAGGATGCAACAGGCCTCGCCTTATGTTTGCCTAGCGTCATAAAGGAGGAGGAAGAAGAGGAGGAGGGGGAGGAGAAGGACGCAAACAAAATTGATGTTTTCCACCGTCTTCGGCCTCTGGGAGCCCTGGCCGGCCCATGTGACTACAAACCGAAGAGTCGGAAGTTCCAGGGGCTTGGCATTGCGGGCAAATCAATACACCAGATCTCAGGGCCGCATGGAGGAGAGGAGGAGGAGGAGGAGGAGGATGAGGAGGAGGAGCAGTGTTGTGAAGGAGGAGGAGGAGGAGGAGGAGGAGGAGGAGGATGAGGAGGAGGAGGAGGACCACTGCAAACCAAAGACCCCTCAACGGCATTGGAAAGAACCCTCCCTCCAGGTTCCCACTGTCATAGGCCCCTACAAGGATGAATTTTCACTGAGGCAAGTGCTCCGTTGGAAGGCAACTGTTTGCAAGTCTGGGACTGCGCCAGAGCATAATTCCTGGGACTCCAACGCCGCGAATCACCCTTACAGCTGCGTCTTGACGACCCTCAATCACGCCAGAACGCCATTCCTGGGACATCAACGCCGCGAATCAACGTGACTGCTGCGCCCTGACATTCCGACATCGTGCCAAAACACCATTTCAGGGAAGTTAACCATGATAATCCTTGAAACTATTGCACACTCTAGGGACGATTGTGCGCGGCGCTAACGCGAGAGCCACATTTTGAACATGAGCCGCCCTCTGATTGTGCGCGGCGCTCAGGCGAGAGCCACATTTTGGAGGTGGGCCGCCTTCCATCCGCGAAGCTCTCGCAATTCTTGAAGACGAATTTGCGCGGCGTTAAGGTGAAAACTACATTTTGAAAGCGGCTACCCTCCATCCGTGAAATTCTGGCATCTTTTTACAGACGAATGCACGCGGCGCTAAAGCGACAGACACATTTTGAAACCCGGCCGCCCTCTATCCGTGAAACCTTTGCATTTTTAACACGTGTTGTCTCGGCACGAAGGCGAGAGCAAGGGCCGCCCTCCATCTGTGAAGCAGGTATAAATTCCAAGCTTCGGAACCATACATCGTGAGGAAGTCTCAGGCGAGACGCCCGGCCCGCTCTTTCGACCGGCCCGGGGGTGCGACAGGGAGGAGGCATATATAAGGAATATGGATGCAGGAGCGAGAGGCAGGAGGTGCTGAGCACTGAGGGGCTGCACCAGCTCGCTTGCGTAGAGCGCTCAGCCTGCCAGGCTGGCGGCGACGGATGAGGTGGAAGAGGAGGAGGAGGCCCGCGCCACGAGTGACTACGAGCCTGCGCTCTCAGCAGGTGCCCGTTGGTGAAGTCTCGGGCTGTAGACCACAGCGGGGGGGGGTGCGCATCTCGGCTCGAAGTTGGTCACCACCCGAAGCCATCCCTCGAGATGTTGCTCTTGGCATGGGTTGTGTGTGGTGGCTCCCCCGTGCCATCCAAAGGATACGTATTCCCAGACATCCGCAGGATCGACTTGATCAACCCATTGGTCTTTTCGTCATTGTCGGCCTCCTGATGTCTTTCTCGGGCCCCTGCACCATTGAAAGGTGTTCTGGGGCGACAACTACCCGCGGGGAAGCGTTCGAGATTGCTGGGGCCGCGGGTTGAAAGAAGAACATTGTCGGATGCCCCTGCATGCGCTTGAACATGTGTGCCGGCGGCGTTTTCGGTCTGGTTCTAACGCGTTGGGGACGGAGTAGTCGGCGTGTCGGGGGCGGTCACGCCGACTTCGGTTCAGATGTGGAGATCAAGAAGGGCTGGAAACCATCGTATGCCTCTCCGTCGCCCTTGCACACAGATAGCATCATTGAGATGGATGTGTGCTTTGGTTTGGTGTCGCTCGCCGTCGATATGGCGTCTGGAGATTATTCGCCCTCCTCGCTTCCTCGTTCGCCATCGTTCTGACTCCAACCCTCCTCCTCCTCCTTTTGTTTATTCCTACCACTCCCTCTTCTCCCTTGGTGCTGTCTGCCTGGCGCATACAGTGTCTCAACCGACCAGTGCCTGGAGAGTCAATTATTTTTCAAGCTGCGACTCCAGTTGATTGGGAGCTGGGGCTGGTCAGCCAGTGACTGGCTTGTCCGCCCGCGCTGGCCCCAACCAGGCTAGACAGTCTCGGCCTAGGCCAGTCGCTTTTAGTCTGTTTCCGCTCCTCTCTCTGTCCGTTACCACCGCGTGCTTGTTCCTGCAGCGCTTTCGCGGGCCCTCGTTTAAGTCCCACAGATTTGTGCAGGCCTGGTCTCGCGAGGCGCCGTTTCAGATAGGTGCGCGCATGCACGTCCTCCACGCGTGGACCGCCGCTCGCCAGGATCTCACTGGCGCCTTCTGCCCCCGTCTCATTCCCCCCCTGGCCCCAGGATGCACCCCCGAAACAGCTACGTGGCCGAATGGAGCCACACACCTGTGTCTGGCGAGCCAGGTAGGATGGTCTGTGGTACGTGACCGCCGCTGGACCCACAGGACCGTGCGGGTCGGACCCCGGGCGGTGGGCGGGCCTCTGTGGGACGGACCCCGTGCCGATCACAGCAGCCTGGACCGCCCTCGGGCGCCAGTGGAACGCCGCCAGGTGGTGGAGGGGCGCCGTCCGGGAGCGCAGGCGGCACGGAGGAGGATTCTCGAGGACGAGGACGAGGCGGAGAGAGGGGTGTAGGCAGGAGGGGGGACGAGGAC